CAAACATAATCTAGTCACGTTTGATGCTTGAGGATAAATATAAAATGAGATTGTTAGAAGTTTCTGTCACTTTATAAGTTGTAAGAAATCATATTTCACTACAAGAAGTTGACATATGACATTTTAATAATATTTGTTCAATGTTTTTACTGAAGCCCTCTCTATATTTCCTGAAGCTTGGAAATGAAAGGAAAAGTAAGTTAATGTGCTGTGCTTTTACTGAATTATGAGACATAATTCTCCTTGTATATTTGTACCTGGCTTCAAAAATTTATGTTTAATGCCAACTCTGATTTTTCATAAAAAAGTTTACGATGTTGTTTGGTGTATGCTTCCGTTCCCATTTCACTTTCTCCCTCAACACAAGTCATAAAGACTAAAGAGATAACGTCAAGGATGAAAACGTTTCTCGCTCATCTTGAATTGCATTATATTTACAGTTATCTTAATCCCGATAACAATTTCCTCCATAATAGTCGTGATTGAATAAATGATGAAAAAAATAAAATAAATCGTCTTGACTAAGTTGACATTTTTCAGATAGCAAAACATAAATCAAGGAAAAGGAACTGGGAGTGAATTAATCATTCATTCACGTAATTACAGAAAAAATCTTTTTTGTTTATTGTAAAGTTTCCAACTCGGGTTTCTCTATGTTCCCAATGAAATTTTAATTGTATTTTATAATATTTTTCATTACACATTTGACTTTCAAAAATTTTGAGTTAGTTTCCTGATTAATCAAGATTTTCTCTTTAATTTGTTCTAACCAAGAAAGAATTTTGTCAACATTTAAAATATCATGTTTTCTCACATTATAACTACTTTTTTTTCACTTATGAAATTAATATTTTACTCTCATAGTTAAGCATAAGAACGATAAAACGAAATTCACGAATTAATTCCCAAGAAACACTCTTACATTATAAATGAAAGAAAATCCTCGCAAATAATATATCTACGAGATAATTTATTAAATTTCTATTACCGTGAGAACTTTTTGTGTTTTTACCAAAATATTGTTTTAGTAGATTAGGAAAATGATTTATATTTTATTCACTTTAATTATGAAAATGCTATTTAGTTGTTGGCAGCATAAAAAGTAATTCACTTTTACTTAAAAGATTCACAATCATATCGAGACTGAAGCACGTTGAAGACTAAAGAGTAGAAAATGTTAAAATAGAAACTTTCATTACAACTTCGAACATTCAATTTTCGAACATTCGTTGGAAGGATGGAATAAGACATGAGAACATTAGTCAACTGCAGAAATGATAACAACAGCTTTATGATGCCGTGAAGTAAAATTCTCGTTTGAGTTGAATGTAATGAAGTGATAACGGATTTTTATTTCTTTCCTTTGCTTGTCTGTCAAATAAATATTTTTGATAGAGAGAAAATAATCAAATAAAATCAATAATTCCAATAATAATATAAACGTATAAATGAGTTCACATCGTGTCATTTCTAAAGCGCCATTTAATTGACATATAATGATGTAAATTTAATGGACATGTTCGTTCGATGAGAACCAAAGCAGATGTCTTGATTCTTTCAAACTTTATCAGATTCTCTTAACATTATTAAATCGCGTCTGCTGAGAAAATATAAAGAAGGAAAATATTCTTAAAGCAATTAAAATCTCGTAAGTATCAAATGACTTCAGAGACTGATGACTTAACAAAGGAACAAGATATGTTGTAAAATAACAATATAACGTTGCTTTATACTCCATTGAGTATTGTTAAAATTACAATTAACTTTCCTTTTTTTGAAATTCTTTCAAGTGTCAACACCAAAAATAAAAAGACAAACCCGACATTCTTCTGTAGTCTGACGCCTTTTGATACATAATAATGTTTGATGTAGTCGCGATAGAGAAAAGGAAAATGTTGACCCATATTCGAGCTCAAAAGTTTCCATTCAATTTTGATTTGCTTCCTGTGAGTAAAAGCGGGATCAATAAATGCGCTACTGAAACAAAGAGAAAACTTTTTTATGAAAATTCAAAGAACATTTTTTCTTTTCGTTTTGCATTGGTTTCGCTTGCTTATTTACTGCAAAGCTCGTAAAAATGGTTTTATGTGCGTATTTTATGACAACCTAAATGGCTCTTGATAGAGTAAAACGATAAGGCCACGAAGGGAAGTAGGATGTCTCGTTTAAACAACAGGAACATATTTCATGCGTGAGTTGGAAAGGTTCCGTTGATTAGTGTTTTATTATCACTCGTTATGTCGCAATTGCAAGCTACATTATGAATCTACAAATTATAAACAAGATTAAGAATTTGATTGCGCATTAAATTTTGAAGTTATCTCAAGAAAGACTTTTAGTCATGACAGGATTTTCACCATCATGACAATTGATGCAATAAAGCTTTTAATCTCAGTTTTTTGTTCGAAGAAAATTGAAAGAAAAACAAATTATTTTTAGTTAAAAGGAAAAAAAAGCTCTATTTATCAGAAAAGTTTATTGAACTCAGAAACAAACTTTGATTGACATGTTAATTATTTTTGGATCGACTTGATTTTTTTTTCCATCATGAGGGTCAATGAAGAAGTAAATGGATCGAATTTGGATGACCTGATTTAATTATTATGCAATATCAAAGTAATGATACGTTTGCAAACGATATCAATTTAAAACTAGGTAATCAAATTAAAAGCTCACAGAGAATAATAAATAAACTCGTTATTTTAGGCTTCACGAATACTGATTAAATGATAGAAAATATTTTGAAAATATTCTTTGAAACGTCAATAATTTAAAAATAAGTTTCCGCGTAAATTGAAAATTTGGTGTCTCGATTCATTATTGACAAAAATATATTTTTATATGTGCCAACATAAATTTTTGTGAATATATTTCTACCCACTTATAGATTATTATAAATAGTGTTGAAACATTTAACCGACTTTTGAATTTGAATAGTAAAGTTGTAACCTCGCGTGTATCCGAGACGCATACCAGAAAAAACATTAAAGCATCAAAAACTAGGGTTGCTCATTGCTGGTGCATGCTGGTTTTTGCTGGTTTTTCCACCAAAAAACCGCTTGCTGGTAATCCAAACCAGCAAAAAAACCAGCGTTTCTTGAAAAATATGCTTTTTCATTAATTTCTTTAATCTGAAAATGATTGAAAACTGAAAATTTAAATTATTTTCAAGATTAAAAATTGAAAAAATTTCAAGATGGGTAATATGAATGGGCTCAATATCTTTTATACAAAAATACCGGTAGCCTTCAAAATGTATTCGACTACCTTTTTTTTGCAGCAAAATTTGCTCAAGACTATTTGACAAGGCATTAAATTCATAAATATTCTTTAAATTTTATTATAGAAAGGAATAAAAATTAATATTGCCTTAAAATTAAACATTTTCATTAAAACCAGCAAACCAGCAAACCAACCCTAATCAAAAACATTGAAGCATCAAAAACATTTCACGGAAACATTGAAACAATTGGACAACAAAACTTTGTTTACTTCTTTGAGTTCAGTTTGAAATTAAACGTGAAACAAACGCTACACGTTTCTTAGCGCATTAAAAAAAATGAATAAGTAGTAAGATGAAATTTTGTGTAAAATGTGATTAAACAAAATAAAAAAGAGAAAAAAGAACGAAGAAAAATAAAATATTGCGAGAATTTTATTTTGAAAATAAAGTGGGAAAAAAGTTCAAAGATCTGTGAAAAGAATTTCTGTATCAAGATTGATAACAATATGAAATTGAAGAAAGTTGGATAAAGGCTTTAATTTTTGTGGATTATTCATTTCTGCCATCAAATATAAAAGTGAGTTGAGATTTTTTATAATTAGTTAACTTGAAAAAAACTTATTTTAACCTTGAAAATGCCGGTAAACAATCGTCAATTTTTTTTTTTCATAATCTCATATCAAAACGATTATAAAAACAAAATAACTAAATTGATGTTCTACGAAATCCAAAAACTATTTTATCATATGAAGAATATTTTAAGTTTCTAATTATATAAGTACAGAAAAAAGGAATAAATTATTTTATTTTCTTCTATTCTTGTTAATTATGAAAAGTGAGGAATGTTGTCGAACGCATTCGTCTACCACGCGTGATTTGAAACATTCAAGCACGAGTTACGTTAAAAATAGACATGAGCTTCCCTCGAAAAAAAGAAAACAAAATGTTTCTCAATTAATTCTTGATACAAATCTTAATAGAGTGTTTACCACCGTTTTATATTCTTATCATTGGAATGGCTTTCAGAATTCTCTTTAATATATGTAATTCATTCAAAGACTGTAAGTGAAAATTACATATTTGGATGTGATTAGCATGTTAGCAATTACGTTAGCAAAACTTGATAACATTATGCTCTTTTAATCAAAATTTATACTTGAAATTATGGAGATAAAAAGATCATTTTGACAAACAACAAACAAACAGCAAATAAAAAGTTTGCAGTGTACATACATAACAAAACGAAAACATAAACAAATGAAAAGATTCTCGCGGCAGTGTTTCTTCTTCTTTTAAAGCATGTGTGGTGTTTTATTTTTAGTTGGGCGGTCGGTTTCATTTCAATTTCTTTGTCGCAGATTTAATTTTTCTTATTCCAGTCATAAAAATTCAACAGAGAGTTTTATGATAAATGACATTATAATGTTAAAATTTATGAACTAAATATTTTTTTTATTTCAATTGTGCTTGTGCCAATGAGGAAATGGGAAAAGTTTATCCAAGCATCTGTGATGAAATTATGGAAATTTTCAATGTAGGTATTTTGATCAGCAATCGCAGCTTGAAATCGTAAAATAACCCGTGAGTTATTGATTATTAAGAGGCTTCTATTGTTGTTTTTTAGCTCACATTTATTATGAGCCTCTGAATCGGCAGATTAGCGTTTTATTCGGGCGATAAACATTTTGTTCGTTGACGATCGGTTGTCGACTTTAATCGATCTTTGATAGAAATGATCGATCACAACATTGTGCGTCTTAAATGACAGTCGAATACACTTACGTTTTATGTTTTTTTTATTCATTAATATTCCATTAAATTGTAAATTCTTGACATTCATCTCCAACCATCGTAGACTTAAAATCAAAGTCAAATCTCAGCAGAATCATTCGTTCGACCGCTGTGCGGAACCAGGCGAGCGAAAGCAATTTGTTCACAAAACACTCAACGACTTCGATGTTTTTTTAATTTTTTCTTTCTCTTTTTTCGTTTCATTCTTTGATTAATTCCGAGTTAAGGTGGATAAGAAAATGCTGCAATGTTGCCGCTGTTTGGATGCTGATAAACCCACTCGTAGAATTGAAAAAAAAAAGTTTTCATTTATTTGAGTCTCTTTTAAAATTTATCGTGAAGAATTGCCACAGTTGAGATGAAAGAGAATCAAAATTGAAATTTAAATTGAACACAAAAAAATGTTTCCTATTGCGATCTAAAAGTTTTCTTTCATTCTCTGCCGTTGCCATTCGAGTACGATTTCATGTTGTGTGCCTTTTACTGTTAAGTGTTAACGATTCTTGCGTCTGTCGCTTTTTGTCCACGAGTTATGATTCACTGGACCATCAGAAAAGTTTTTTTGTTTTGTTTTTTATCAATGGCGGTATCTCGTTTTTCTTGTTTGTTGGTTTTATTAATGTAGAACTGACAAGAACTCATTTTTGCAGTTCTTTATTCACGTACCAAAAACGTTTTCAAAGTGCTGTCTGAGAATTCTCTTGACAATAACAGCACATAAAACCCTTTTCTATAATTAACGATCGTTATCGTTATATGAATGGCATAGCTTTGAATATTGCTTTCGGTTTCAACATTTCATAAATGTTATTTGGGTTTTGTCATTGAAAGAACCGCAATTATCCATCCTAGCTCGGCAAAAAATCTACGTTTTCTAACAAAAAATCAATTTTATCAAAAATTTCAGCATTGAATTTTTAATATTAGAACAATCACGTTGTAGAATATAAAGAGTTTCAAGCACATTTCTAATAAAATTGAAGTTGTCGCTCAATGTATTGGACAGATTTTTTTTTGTTCTTTCGATTGCCATACGTTTCACTTTCTTCGCTGATCAATGTTAAGATAAAAAATAAAAAGAATTGAAAATTCAATCTAAAACTGATTTTAAGATAATGAAAAACTGAAGTTAGAACTTTTCACTACAATCAAATTAAATTTCGTTATGTTCATAAAACTCTTGGGAAATATCAAAAACAAGAACATTTAAATTGTTAATTTGGTTCAAGATGTAACTGTAACTGTTTCATTGATGTTCATTACTTTAGTAAATGAAGCAGCATCAAATTTCATACAAAATTACATTTTAAACTTTTATGAATGAGATTTTGAAGTGGAATTGAGGATCTCAACACACTTTGATATTTCGTGAAACTTTGTATAGAAATTTTGCTTAAATTATCTCTAGAATGTTTGAAAATTTTCCATTCTTAATTTAATTTATTTTATTTGTTGAATTTGATGCAAAAAAATATCAAATGCAAAACAAAAATCACATTTATCACCCTTAACCCCCTGCAATTTAATTCCAAGACTGATTTAAAATTATTTCACAATATTTAATTGAACCACAAAGAGAACAGCAGTTCGATAATCTGAGGATTATAAAAAAAATCAATTTCAACTTCTTCAAAGTAATTCTGCCGCTTACCTTTGATGTTCAGTCAAGCAGCGATGTTCTTCTTTTTTAGCCATAACTACTTGTGAATTCTATTCGGGTTCGTTTAATTCTTCTGAATTTTCTTCAAGAATATTTCATGAGAGAAAATTTTTTAAGGTTCATGAAAGAAGCTTTAAAAAAGCTTTTAAGCGCATTGTTAGTGATCACAGTTAAAATTGCTATTTCCCACAAAATGTAATCCTCGACATTCATGGTTCAACACGTAAAGAAAATCAAATTTCAAAATGTAACGAAACTTTAAGAAGTCGATTTATCGAGCTATAAATTGGAAAGCTTCTCATGAAATGTCACAGACAATGTCGCTCGTTTTAAGTTCACTCAGCGATAAAAATCAATTTCTCATTCATATTTTTTTTCGCTTTTTGTAGCGAGCGAGAAGCCGAAGCTAAAGAAAAAGAAGAAGTTTGCCGGGAAGGAGAAGAAAAACAGAAAATTTCTTTTATTTATGTTTCGTTTGTCCTTTTGAATCAAAGAAACTGTTTTCTTTTCCTTCTTTTTATTATGTTGCTAAATTAGATTCTCTGTCAGTTTTTATTGTCATTTCTTATTATTCCTTCTCGATTGTAATAAGTATATAAAGGAAGTTGTGGATAATAATATCTTTAGAGAATTGGCTATGCAATGAGCTTTTTTCAAGGCGAGTTTTTGATTCGTGTCACTGCATTTTAATCTAAGAAAATCTTTGCAACTGAACAACATAACATTTCCTTTTCAAAACTTCATGAAAGCAGCTTGTTTGATTTATGTTTAAATATTTTGCTGTTGATTTTTGCATTATATGATTAGTAAAAATTGATGTAGATAAATAAAATAAAAATACTTACAATCATAAAACGAAGGAAGTGAGCAAACAAACATTTTTCTATGTTTCATGTCACGAGACGTGAAATAAGGAATTGTGCAAGGGATTTCATACTTGAAATAAAATTTCTCTTATTGAGTTTCTTTTTAAGTTTAAATTAAGTTTTGAAAACGTTTCCTAGCAACTTCTAACAGTTTGCCATATTCTTAATGTACGTGAAGAAAAAGTGCAAGTTTAAATCGTAAGAAATGGTCACGTTTACAAAGTGAAGTTATACTTGCTTGCAGAATAAATAAAAAATAGAATTTTCTTATAAACTTTTCTTCATCCAGCTCTTGTCATTCGACTTAAAGTATAAACAAATAATCTTTTTTGAATTCATTTTTCTCGTGGGTTCGCTCTGGTGCCATGGGAATTATAATTATGGTAGTTCTTTCACGCGTCGCTTTGCTACGCCTTTTAAATTGATGTAAAATCCATAAGCATCAAAACATAACTCTTGGATCAATTATATGTTGCGTGGGTTTGGTGTTTACACGCAATTTTCAATTAACTACAAAATAAGCTGAAAACGAGAATGAATGAGAGACGCTTTAACAGTAAATTAATGTGTCTCGAGTTGGAATTTTATGAAAGAACATTGGTAGAGTAGCTAATCCAACACGTGCTACGAAAGAAATTCAGAATCAATGGTAAGTTTCTGCTGGCACTTCATCGATCGCAAAGGCTGTTAACTTAATTAATTTCAACCTTTTAAACTATTCGAAATGTTGTGTTGAGGGCAATAAGAAGTTATTCCGTTATCGACAATTTATTGAACCGAATAAAGTTGATGTAGGTTGATTGCAAAAAAAATTAGGTACTTCCATCTTTTACACGCCACAACTTAATCACTTTTTGTAATTGCTCGACCATTTCAATGCCATGATATAAAACTGAAGTTCAGATTAAGTTTGAAAAATAATTTTTATTTTTATTAAGAACCTGAAAGTTACGTGAAATATTTTATTACTTATAAATATCAAACATCCCACACTTTATTCGTGCTATATGAATATCAGAAAATTTATGGAACTTAAGATTGTCGAGGGATCGAAAATCATGAAGCCACGAAACTTGTAATAACCTTCATTTTGTCATGATGGAAGTTTTCACGGTGCTTTTAGATAAATTTGGAAGGGATTTTGTGATTCGATAAATATTTTGATAGTAATTACCTGAGTAATTAAGCGCACTCGAACTTTAATGGTTCGTGACTTATTAATAAGTAATAAGTTAAATATTGCTTCTGTGAGTTAGGGTGTTGTAAATTTGTTGAAAGCTTTCAAACTTCATTTATTAACATTAGAGTGGAAATTGATGTTTAGAAGTTTTCTCTATTCTTCTAAGTGAAAAGTGCAATCATTATAATCTACCTTGAATTTCCACATTTTCTAACACAAAAAAAGATCCAAATGCATTTTCGTGATAATAATAAACGTCACTAAGTTAGTTCTGTTAATGCTTTCAGCGCATAAATATGCGATGAGAATCGAATAAAAGCGAATGAAATCTTATTGGAAACAGACAAGAAGTATCATGGGATGGGATGTAGAAATTACTTCGGATTATTGATATTTATGTTCCGATCGTGAGCGGCTCTCATAGCGAGTTCTTAATCAGCGTTTATTGAAGGCATTGACTTGACTTTACCGTCCATAGCCACAGGCTTTCAAGTGATTTGCGGTTGCATAATAATCCGTATTGATGAAGCGATACGCGTGCAAAATTAGAAATAATTTAATTGCTTGTTGATTCGCTACACGTGGAAAGAGAAGAATCAAAGCCGCATGTATTTTACCGAAAATGGCTAAAGATAATTCGTTGAATTCATTCCAAACTATATCTACGAAATTCGCAAACATGCTGAGATAAAGTGTTTGATTCAAACGTAATCAATGAGAGAACGCTATGAGTATTGAAACGAGTTAGCAAAACATTATTCGGAATTTAATTTAAAAGTTGATTCGATGGTGAAATGAAATGTTACGTAATTAAAACGATAAAGTCAAGCGTCACTTGTTATCAATTTGTGAAAAATTTCATTATGTTCTTCAATTCGTTCAGTTAAATTTCATTGAATTTATCTCATCACTTTATCATGCAGATTTACAAGCTTCGAGAAAATTTTATAATACAGTGAACTCTCGTTATAACATTTTCGAAGGGACTGACAGCATTAGATGTTATAACGAGAGAAATGTTGTAACGAGAAAATTTTGTTCGAGATTTCGTTCGAAATTATTTTCGAAATGAATGTTGTAACGAGAGAAATGTTATAACGAGAGTTCACTGTATTTGAATAATTGAAAAAGCTTTTGCTAGATTTTTACTGTCTAAAAATATCGAAGGGTTTAATCCGCTACTTCATCTCGAATTAACGTCGATAAAATGATTTAACATAATTAATCTCTTCTGATCCTAATTGCCTTTATCTTTCATATAAAAATGTTGTCTAAACTTCTTAGCATAACTTCCGTTGTATTCAACATAAACTCAATAAATGATCAACAATCTTTCTATTTCTAGATAATCTTCGGATGTTTATCTTTTCATGTAAACAAACATTTCGCAAAATAATAATAAAAAAACTTTTTGTTTGCTTTTAAATTCGTTGTTAAATAAACGAAAAACTTTATAAATCGATGAACATAAAAATTCATTGTAAGTTATATTTTGTTTATTTCAATGCTCCCTTTTTTGTGTGCATCGATTGTTTAATTGGATTATAAAACAGATCAAAGTCAAAGAAGTATAATAAATAACTTCAGGATATAAGTTAATTCTTTCAGTGATCCTTTTGAACCGTAAATAAATAAAAACAATCCTTTATTTTCATTAATTTTATGAAGCTCTGAAAATCAGTCGATTAATAAAATGGAAAAACGTTCACCACTCACTCAAACATGAGTCGAACAAGACTCGTGCATATTTAATAACGAACATTATTCTCACCCACGCTAACACTTTTATGCTGGTTCTTTCGTAAATATTTAGTCATTAGAGGACAAAAACAAGCTTCATGACGTGCTAGTCAGACATAAAATATGTACACTCAAAATGAAAAATATATAAAAAACAATCAAATTATAACCTGCCTTTTAAAAGGAAATTTACTTTTAATCGCTTTGTAATTAATCATTGTCTCAATAGTCGTACAAAAGGAGCTTTTCATTTAACTTTCATATTTTTTCTCTCAATTGTTCTACAGAAGGCACTTTCAAACTTCAGCAGTGGAAAGTAATTGAAGAACGATTCGAAGCATCAATTATCAAGAAGTTCTTCTTCTGCTTTCTTTATGGTCTTAAAGTATTGATAAATGAACTTAAAGTTTATTGCTTCCCTGATAATTTTTTTCCTCTTTTCTTTTCAATCCTTTCAACGTAACTAGTGATAAATGAATTTGTAAATGCATTTTATTCCATGCACCACCTGACTGCAAAGTATTGGAATTGTTCTTTTGGAATAAATGAAAATAAAGGATACGAACGACCGTTTACTCCAATTCATTGAATAGACATTTGATTCGGACATGCATCAATTTATGTATGATGATTTGAAGTCACTCATGTGCTTTAAATTTTGCTTTTCATGTTTCAGTGTCGCACTTGTTTTTTTTCTCCTTCATGCCTGACAAATTATGTCACGTTACAGACGCGAGTATATAATAGTATTTTCTGCCTTGTCGTTCCACTTTATTCGTAAAAACATCATGAGACGAAGCAACCAACATTGAATAACGAATATTTTCCTCTAACACAAAGGACATTTCATCATTGTGTAAGCGAATATTGAAACTTAACGAAAGGATTTTCTGATAAATAAATGAGTTTTCATCGAACTTGTCGTCTCATGCTACGCAAGCTCACTGATATTTAATTCACAAAACATCTACAATGATGCAAATTATGTGAGTAGTGGTTGTTGCACAAGTGTTTGTGCATGTGGGGGGGAAATGTTTGTTATACACAAATTCACCGTCGATGATTTTCCAACTCACCCTCTAAGGCTCGCAAAACCCGTCGATGAAAATGCACGTTTAAACAAAAACAAACCACTAACACAAACAAATCATCACGTATTTATTCGTCCTTCGTTAAGTATGGTATGGATGTGTGAGGGTGTAGTTAAGATATTGATTTTACGGCAGCAGGAAAAAATAACGAGAACAATTTTTAGCTGAAAGAAATTTTTCGTGAATTCGGATGTGCAAGGAAATCGTCCCAACGAAAAAATTCAGTTTTCATTGATTAATCAATTAAATTGTTAGTTAATTCATAGTGAATCACTAGTATCATTGACATGTAGTTGAATTTTGTAATTTTAATAAAAGTTTCAGTGTTAAATAAGCGATCAAATTCAAAAGAAAAAAATCACACTAAGGAAAATGGTGAATGGCCATTAACCCAGGGAAAAAAAGAGAAAAAATCTGAAGCTCAAAAAGGCTGAAAAGTGAATAAAAAATTATAAATTTGAGAAACTGTGAAAGTTCTTGAGAAACAATTTTGGATTATTTTTGAATATTTTTCAATACTAATTTGGATATATCATCCGGACGATTGGAAAAGCGTCTTGTAGGGTGTGAAGGTATGATGGCAATTTTTCATTTCACCTTTGTCTGTCGAATGGGCGCAGTAACGATTTTATGGAATCAAAAAGAGGTTCGGTCTCGCATTCCTAACCACAACTACTACGTTCATAATTAAATTTTCTTTTTAATAAATGAATTCTTACTTTGCAAAATTCTTGCAAAAAGAAAGCGAAAAAGGAAAATCGAACAAATTTTCGTCAGGGTAAAGAAATCCAAATGAAAAGAGAAGAAAAAAACAAACATGGCTGTCGACTATGAAAAGTTCCGAAAGAAAATTTTGTGTGATGGTGAAGAGGAAAGAAATGAAAGATTTTATTGTAACAAAAATATTTTTGCACAGGGATAACGTGTGTGTGTAGGTGTGCTGGTTTTATGAAAGTTGAGAGTATGATTTTCCCAAACCGATGAGTAATATTTCATAAGATTTGGAGAAGGAAATTTCTCGTGAAAATGAAGAAGGAAGCAACTCAACATTGCATGAATGATGGATAAATTAATGTAATTTTTCAATTTGCATTTTTCTTTTCCATTTTTGCTCGCTTGAATTTGAGTGATTACAAAGAAAATTTTTTAATAGCCGTTGGATGAAAGAACAAAAAAAAACAATCTAGGTTCGCTGTATGCAAAGACATTCTCAATGCACGCAATACTTGCTTTAAAAAATATTCTGACGTCTCACAGTTGTTGCTACATTTCACCCTTTTCATTCTTTGACTCCCTTCAGTCGTTTTTAAGATGTTAGGAAAATAACAAACTCAGAACTGCGGATTTAATACACCGACAACTTCTTCTTGAAATACTTTATTATCACCTTTTTCCATTCCAAACGAATGCTGAAGTCGGCAGACAAACGATTTGTAAAACAACTTCCTCGTGTTTTCATCTCTTGAAGTTGAAATGCGCTCGACACTAATGAGGTGAAAAATAATCGATTTTTATTTCATGAGACGGAACAAATTCCACCCACTTGATTTATTTCCCTTTCTTATTTTTATTAAATAAATTTACACGACACTTGAATGTATAAAAAATGAACGACATCAACAAAATTTCGTGTCGTGAGTTGATGAATCGTTTTGAGTTCTTCCTTTCGATGCTGACCAAGTCAGATTGTAATCTTCATGAGATTCTGATGTTTACTTAGTTATTCAAATGAAAAATCATTATGAATGACGTAAAATTTTACAGCAATTTAAAGTTATGACAATATTACAAAAGCTTTTGAAACACCGTCTTTTCAAAGATACGATAAATTTAATTAAGGTAAATTTATAATACATGAAGGCTGGTCACGTGATGGATCATTTAGATATTGTAAGGGTCGATTCTTCAAAATCTAATGACGTTACAGTTGAAGTTAATTGGTACAGTGGTTGGACGTCGCGTTTTTACTGTGAACGACAAGCTCATTTATCATCCCATCTGTCTCACGCACATCTTAAATTGCTTCTCTTGACACACGTTTTTGATTATCTCGCAACATCAATCGTTCAGCCGCAACTTCTGACAAACGGGTCTAAAGTTGTAGACAAAGTTTCTTCACTTTTTCCCTGTGTTTGTCACTGTAACAATGATGACGTGATCAAACTGAATTTTGACTATTTTTTTTCGTATGTTTACCTCGTTTCATCTCAGACATAAAAGTATCAAAGAATGAAGAGAACAAAATCCATTACAATTCTAAATTAACATCAACTAATGGGATTTCTCCGCTACATCAGTACTGATGAATTATTACATGAATATTAATTGCTTGGAAAATATTTCAAGTCATTTATCAGACGAGAATAAAACACGACCTAATGAAATTCTTTCTTGCTTTCGAGTCAATGTCCCATGTGAAATTTCTTTTCGCACATTTTTCTTTTCTTACTGAAATATTTTTGTCGTGTAAAATTAATTAAGAATCATCATAGACGAAAAATGTGTTAAAAAATCCAAAAAGAAAAAGAAATCTTGAAATATTATCGTGATTTTTGTTTTATCTTTATTTTCAATTCTGATTAAAGTTGAAAATATATTCACTTGGTTACGAAAAAGATATCGTTTTTAAATTGATATTTATTCAAATTACTCTGTCGACATGATAAAGAAAGAGAACAATAAAGTATCCAACAAAGCGTTCCGGTACGAGGTTGAATATTTAATCAATTTCAATTAACTTTAACATATCCATAAAATCGATAATCTCAGAGTAATGATGAGTGCCTATTATCTACGTGAAATATAGAAAAGTTTCTTTCACATAGCACAGATGCAGAAAAAAACCTCTTTTGTTGAAAAGTAATTTTAATCAATGCTCAAATTACGTGAGAAATTGGAAAACCTAATTTTGTTTTTATGGTTTGCACAACTCCAGATGCAAGCAATCAATAATCAATAAGATTTTTCATCCTTAAGTTTCGATACAAAAGAATTCAATCTGCTTTGATGAAGCGAAGAAGTTAGTTCAAAAGTCATGAAAAAGAAATAACATTTAAGTACAATAACAGACTAGAGGAGTGCAATGTGCCACTGTTAGTGTGATGTGAAACCCAACAGTATAATTCTGGAAGCCTTTAAGAATTAAAATGTTATGTTTCAAAAAATAAAGAATCCATCATAAGCTGTTTAAGTACATAGGCAACTAAAGACAAAACGAAGAATGACATGAAGGAGAATTAACGATTTTAAGACTTTTCTGATGAGTTATCGTTGTCAGCATGATCAAGAAGGGAGAAAATGAGTATGTCGACGAGATTTGTTAATTTGAATGGAGAAAACAACGAAACGAAACTCAACGGCTAGTAAATTTATTAACATTCCAAATGGCGCTTTCTTTTATCTCTTTTGGAAGTTCTTGTTAGAATACATAATCAAATGAACGTCATTAGGTTAAATTTTCTACGTTTTGTTTTGAAACAAAAGACGAGAAATTAATTGTATTTCATGTCATGAACCGTTGAAGCAGGAAAGGAAAGGTTCTCTCGTGTGGGCTAACAATGTAACATGTAACTTCTTTTCCGATAACCCGTTCACTCCCAATGTCGGATCTTGCGATAATCTTTTCATTTCGGCGGATAATTTATGACCACTTCTTGCTTCCATGCTACACATGCCTTATCTTAGATGGAATAAACATTTCTTTGCTTTGGATTTCTTTCGGAAATCGACCCTCAAGCGTTTTATTCATCTTCTCAAGAAGAAGACAGGAAGACAGAAATGCAAACAAAAGAAGCCGAGAGAAGAAAAAATATTAGAAATTAATTTTTTTATATGCACATATAATCTAACTGTAGTGAAAGTCCTCGAAGGCATATTCTTTGAATAGGATGAAAACATAAACGCAAACAATATTTTAACTCAAACTACATTCAACTGAAATAGATGACGAACTAAATGAAGCATTCATAAGAAAACAATTTGTTTTTCTAATCTTAAATGCATATCAGACGAGAAAAGACTCAATAATTACACAACATAAAAATGCCTTCTCTTCGACTGTTTAAACCAGAAATAATGGAAAAACATTCTCGTTAGATGTGGGTGGAGAATGAAGAGAAACATAAACAAAATCGTCTGAATCTGATTGAATTAATGTACCGAAATGTTAAACGAAAAAAAAAAGAAGAAGAATAAAAAAATGTATTCAAAGGGAAAAGATATTGCCTCTTATACGACTTGGAGATCATCGGACATGGCCTTAGATGTTTCCTATTGATTTGATTATTTTCTTCTAAGCTGCTAACATCGTTTACATAAATTACTGAATGAAAGAGAGAAGGAATGCTTCAAAGGGCGCGAGTTTCACGAAGGTATTCGTTGCATAATTTACGCAGTCGACTTTATAGCTTTTTGAATTTTCTATAAATTTTTAGACGCAGTTTGTTAATTTTTATTACTTTTACAAGTCTCATTGGATCGATAATGTCGGAGGAAAGTCAGATAAAAATAAGCACAAACTTTAATTACTTTGACTTGCACATCTTAACATGCTTGTCTTCAGTAATTTATGCTTCGTTATTCATTGAAGAACTCATGCAATCCCCTAATAGGTCGTTCCAAGTTTCTTCTTGCTTGTCTTGGAGCAAATTTATTCTTACGTAGAAAAAGTTTTTCTTCTCATCAATCTTGAAACATTTTCAAAGAATAAACTCAAAAAAATTGCAAACTGAAGCATAAGAAAAATTTTATGTTCTAGAAACCGAGATTTTCAACTCTAAAATTTTCTTTTCGACGCAATGCGCATGAAATCATCTTCACATCAGACTTCAATCATGGAAATCTGCTCGTGACATGATCTCATCATGTTCTGTAATTGATTCATTAAAATTTTATTAACTCTACGAAAAGAAAACATTGATGTCATAATGGAAAAGAAAGAAAAAAGTTTGATAATGTAAATACCAAATAATTTGATTGAAGTTGAGTTGAAGCGCAACTCGTCAGCTCATTTATGTTAAGAATTCCACCGTTAGAAAGAAGGAGCGTCGAAGGATGGAACCATGATTACTTATTCATGATGTCAATAGATTTCTATCAATGCTTTTACTTTGACTATTGCCGTGGAATTCTGATGTGATGATTAGAATTTAAATTTCGCTTCACAAGATAAAGACAGAATATAAAATTAAATTTAAGCTTCTTCTGAAGACTTGATAATGAAAAAATAAGCACAATTAAATCTTCCACTTAAAGCATGTCAACTTTTTGAAATTGAAATTATTTTAACAGGTCTGCCAAGTGAAAGTAATCTTACAATTGAATGTTCAACTACAAAGCCGTTCCATGCCAGCGATAACGACATTGAACAATATAAATTATGCTTTCAACCTTTTCCTCCTTTCCAACTTGGTCTTGTTCTTATCTCGATGTTATTTCCCTCTGGAAAGAACACAAATCGATATGCTTCTTAGTTTATTAAATGGTTTTGCCTGCGAGAAGGAGAATCGTGAGAAGATGATTCATCCCAGAGATGAAGAAACTGATTATAGTGATGATTTTAAGAAATATTTTCTCATTACTAATTCCATTTCATTTACTGAAGCAAGTTTGAGAATCAACGAAATAATATTGCAATTCGATTGAACGACAAAATTATTCATATTTCATTATTTTAAGACTATAATATTTTTTCTTTATGTTCTTATTTATTAATGCTTAGAATTATTATTTTGCAATACCATTAAATTATGTTTTTCTTTATTTTATTTCACGAGATGTTGGAAGGTGCATTTATTGTGTTTGTCATTCTTCACCCGCGAGAAACGATGAAATTTAAGGCAATCATTATAAAAAAAAAAAAACTTTAAAGTAAATCGAGAGATGTTTTTAAAATGTTGCATGTTTCAGATGCAACTCATTTCATGTCATCTCAAGGGAAATAAAGAGTCAGTTATCCATTGTTTCTTCTTCAAAGAAAATTGGAGTAAAGAGAAACACTTATCTTAACGATTGGTTGAGTTTCTCATTCGTTTTACTCAAAGTAAAAAAAGAAAAGATGAAACATTTATAAATGTTTGAATATGGATTCTTGTTTTATTCCGAAAACGTGATGGGATGAATTTAGTGAGAGGTTGTTTTTGTGTATCGATTTTATGTCATATTTGTGTCGGGGTCTTAAGTACCATAAACACAAGTGTGGCATCTTTAACCATCTTTTCCTTCCTTCTCTTTATAATCTCTCAGAATCTTTTAAATCTCACCACATAAGTGAATGCGACGGCGCTTAAAACGTTTTTGATAAAAATAAATTTTATCAATTACCTTTTTAATCCACAATTAAGGAAGCGCTTCTACTCTTCTTTTTTTCTGGCCAATTAACTTTTAATCGTCAGATCGCTAATAAAGCTCCAGGAATTTTATTATTTGTGCATACTGCACAGTAAGAGAAATAAATGTCAGACTCATGGGGGATTAAAAGCGGAGATTTTTAATTAGAATTTATTAGGACGAGAAGCTGCGTTGTGTTGTTGTTACTTTCTGATGGGAATTAGAGCTTTGGCATCACGTAGAACATTGGAAAAGTTATCGAAAATTACAGTATAGTGCATTTCTCATAATATTCTCTTATCCAAATCCCTCTAAATTTACGATCTATGATTCTTCCTTTGTGGTTATTTCTTACACCGCACCGCTAACTCACGTTGAAACTTTTAATTTTGCAAATCTTAAAATAATTTCATTATAATCTCAATGGATTTAAGGAGTTTTTAATTAAATATAAAGTTCTGTTTTAAAATGAACATTGCTATCATCATCGTTTCCTTTCTTCATTTGCCGCAATCGAATACAGAAGATTCTTCGATTTATGATTGCAAAACAATATCTTTATTGAATGTTCAATTTCAACATGAAATGTTATTGAAATATTTAATTTTGAGTTGAACTCATCGCCCCTTAATTCACGTAGATATTTCATTTCATCTAATTACAGTCTTGCCATTCTTCTATCTTAGGCATAAGACATAAAAAATAAAATAAATAGGAAAAAGATTTATAGGGAAGACAATAAATTGAAGTGCTTAAAACATTCAATGGAAGTGTGAAAGCTCGTAATCCCACAATATCTAAAACGAGTGAAAATATAAATAATTTTCCTTCTTGAATCAAGGCTTGAGCCACAGATGCGATATATTGGATTTTTAATGTAATGATTTTGATTTTATTATATTTTACTCGACTTCATTCCATGGTAAAATTGGTAAAATATAAGCCGGAGAGAGACGAGAGATGAGAAGGAAAAAATTATATTGATTACCTCCAGATAAAATTCCTATTTCGACCACATCGTTTCACCGAAAGTCGGATGAATCTTTCAACGATTATGATGTAAAGAAGAGAAAAAAAAATCCGCCGATGATTTTTTCATGCTAACGTTCTTTGAACTCACATTTCAATCCATTAAAATTAAATTTTCAAACATCAATAAATCTCTTGGCGTTGCTGTGGCGCGTAGAAATCAGTTTTGATTGAACTTTGTGGGTACATGATGTGGATACTTAGTTGCAGATAGAGATAGATAACTGTTCAACATCATTTGCAATTATCTTTTCGATACTGGCATTTGTTAGAATCAAATAAATCTTTAAGTTCTATCATATTTTTCACTTTTCACATATAAACCTTAATTGCGTAACACTTCCAACATCTCTCATATTCGATGTTATTCATTAATGAACGGTCATTTTCATCATAGGGATTTAATATCTCTGAAATCAATTTATCAATTTTGTTGTGTTTATGGTCGGTCTTTGGCATGTCCCGTATTGGATCTTGCGTCATTCATCGAATGAGAAGGAGAAAAAAAAGAGAAATGCAATCAATTGATATCGTGTTGTTTCTCTTAAATTGAATTTATAAATCGCTCTGTTCACAACAAATATGAAGCTGGATGCTGATTCTATTTTGTAGATGTTTTGACTGCTGCGGTAAATAATCGTTTAATGTTTTCCAATCATTAGCGCTCGACACACAGAGAAATGCTAATAAATAGCTTGGTGAGAAATGTTATTCAATTTTTCTTTCGAAGAAGAGCTTTTTGATGTTATAACTGTCGTTAATTCATCCGCTGTTCGTTGCCCATACGCATTTTTATTTTTTGTCCATTGAGAACATTTTCAACAATAAATTTACAACGACAACTTCGAGTGGCAATAAAAGATAATTTTTGCGTTTCTCTCTTTATCTTCGCTATTAGCAGCAAATCAGTGAAAAACTTTTTTCGTTCGGGCTATAAACAAAAGAAGAGGGAACAAAGTGTCAAGTAGAATAAACGATTTCGAGATAATGATTCGATGCTATGCGAAAGTTTACCAATGATTTCAAACTGTTTTGTGTTTGTTTTCGAGTTTTTTTTTGTTATTTTCTGCTGACTACCGAAGATAAATATTTTGAATTTTAATCTCATTTCGAGTTCGATTATCTGAAACATATTTGAAAGTGAAAGATGAACAAGAGAATTTAATTTGTCTCGTATGAAATCTCGTTAAAATTTGAGAAATTAAACTGAAGAATAATTTACAATAATCAAATCGTGCTTATTCCTTCCTTTTCTATCTTATCTCCGGTGTGGTCTTCGCTGAAAAATTCATACACTTCAGAAATTCAACGTTCTTGAAAATAAATCAAATAAAACGAGTTTATTAAGGAAATTCTCAGAGAAACAAAATTTCATTGATTTAACAAGCTATTAGGACGTCGTTTCTTTTATCATCAGATATTTTAAGAAATTCCCATCAAGCCACATGTTTCATTATTGATTGTTAAAGAACACAAAATATCAAATAACTTATAGAAGGTCAGAAGTCTCATATTAAATAGTTCAATTAAACTGCCTTTCTGATATTTCTTGTCAAACTGATCTTGTTAGTGACACAATTTAATTGAAGTTCGACACTTTATTTATTTATCTATGAAGCAAGCTGATGGCCGTCCATAATGTCAATTAAATAATTTTATTACATCTCCCCCTTCGTCCAATTAAATTATAAATTGTCATCACTGTGATTCAAATCTCAATTGACTTGTCTTGTTTCCGGAAGCATTCTTCCCTTTTTTTATGCAAGCCACGCAAGCAAATTCCTGGTTGCATTTTTATCCCAGTCAATAAAGCCCTTCACTAGATATGGGAAAGTGAATGAAAGTTGAACGACAGCCAGTCGTTTTCTTAATTCAATTCCCATCGTTAAAGGTAAAACTGTCCGATTAACATACAACATACATACATTGACAACGTCGATAAAAATTTGTCGATTCTTATGTAGCGGTTAGTGAACGAACCCGCATCAGTCGTTTCTATCAGACCATAAATAGCTTCGGCACGTGTTTCGTGTTTTTATGTGATGTCGCATTTCCCATTGCAATGTATCAACCTTAATAAATCGAGATACTACATCAACATTAAGAATGTATAGGTAGTTGATTTAGTGAAAAGCATTTCTCCAGGGTTTAAAAGTCAGAAGTTTGAAACTTCTGCTGGATGGAAATTTAAAAACATCTCCGCAAATTTCTATTTTTATTCTAAATTTTTAATGCTGTAAAAATGAATTCCAGACGGATTTGTATTGAAAGTGAAGCATGCGAAATCCTTTGAAGCAAATTTTATTGTGAATAAATATCACATGTGCAGGAAATTTGAAATTGTTAAATTTATGACGACGCGAGACTGAGTCGGTACATAGAAAATGTAAAAAATGCACACATGGTGTACAATTAGTGCTGGGTTAAATCTGTCGAAAAAAATTCAAATAACAATCCAAAATGCGCTTGTGTTTCGAATTGGATATTTATGATGTTCATCTCAACGTTTGTTTATCGCACTCCACATACATACATACATAACACGAATTGTTCATATCACTTCATCTGTTACTGCATGTATGTCTCCGACAGAATGTTTAAGAAGGCAGTAAGTCTGATGGTTGGCATGAAGAGAGAAAAAAGAAGATTTAATTGAAAATTGAGGGGAGATTTATGTACACACGTTTTGCAGTTGCCTTTCTCGTTTTACGTTTCTCGTCTCGACCCTCTTTTAATTTTCTTTCTCCGAGTGATGTTGGCGTGTACGGTGTATGTAGATATATCGTAATAGAAATTTTAAGGGTGCTCATGAATGTGTCGAATAGAATTGAACAGAAAAAAGAAAAAACGCAATATCTTGATGAAAGTTCTCCGCCTTTTTTTAAACAAAAAAAAAAGTTTGAATATTTTATCAGCAATGGATGAGACTGAAGCTTTGTGCTCTTTATAATAACTCATTACATGAAAGGAAAAACGGAGGGAATTTCCCTAAAGGAAAATTGAAAAGTCGAAGCTTGTACTTGCACTTGAAATTTTAAACCGTCTTGGGAATGAAACGAGATAAATTTTTGAGTCGTTTCAATAAAGTAATTTCCACTTTGTACATGTGTGCGACGACGTTTCTTATCCCAAACGGCTGACATTGAAAACATTTTTTTCGGTGCAGTGGAATATAAATTTGAGGCCAGAGGAAATTACTTTCAGTCTAGTCACTTCGATTTTCTTACGGGTTTCCGAATGCTTTGTTATTTCCTATCAGTTATAGGCAAATCTTTAACGAACACAAAGAAAATTCGCCAACCTCATACCAACCTAATGGTGTTTGCCAACAATCTTTATGTCTCTTTCATTAGCGCAAATCGAATGAAAAGAAAAGGAATAAAATTTTCAATACCAAAACTCAATTTATTTTTATAATAGAGATTAATTTTTTCCCAATTTCCCGTAAATTCGTCCGAGCGTGCAAAATTGTATAAGCCTCGAATATCGAGTTTATATTTAATCCCCTTCGCCCCTTTCACCGACTAAAATGAAAAATAGTTTCGTAAAAAAAAAACTTCTTTGCTTTACTTTCATTTTTAAAAAGGGAACGTGAAAAATAAACTCAATCTCATTTAGTAAATATTAGAAGTTTGCTTAAATTGAAGCTGAACATTCTCATCACTCGATTAATCTCATTTCGATGTGCACACAGAAGAAAATTGATCGTAATTTAGCTGATTGCAAAAACTGCAGTGAAATTGTTTATAGTGAGAGATGAAAATCATCAACAGCTGCAGTTGATATTAACGAAAGAATTATGAATTTATGAAAACGATAATAACAAACATTATATGCTTAGCTGTCGATTGTTTACAGAAATTCTCGTCGTGGTATGGGCAGGGTTTTAAACATTTCAATGTTGTTCATGCAATCACAAACGATGACTTTAATAAAATTGAACATTCAAACATCTCTTTGCCCTTACATTCAGTCTGAAGTTAACGAAGAAGTGAATGAGTGCAATTGAATAATCGTAATTGTATAAGCTGCTAACATGTTAGAAGGCGAAACAAAAATGTCATTTTTGTCGTCAATGTCATAGCTGGAGATTATTGTAATTATTCTGTTAGCGAAGTAAATAAAATTAAGGGAGAGAAAGTTCTTTCAAACCATTTCCTGGCAATGTATTTTTTGAATTATATTCTCGAGTTTTTTTGGAGAGAAAATGAAAATGTCAAACGTTTTAATGACGTCAATGTGAAGTGTTGGGTTGCAAACGTTTCAAGAAGAAACAAAAATGTCCGTCAAATGATTTTGAAAAAATCCTTTGCAAAATTAAAGACTCGACAAAATTTTTGAAATATGTAAATACATCAAACAGCGATACTTTCACAACATCATGATTTTGCAGAAAAAAAAAATAAATGAAAGAGAGAAAGAAGAAAGATTTCAGCTTTGAAATCAAGCAACGTACGTTTTGTTATGATTCATGATAATTAGATTGAAAGCCTTGTAATTAGTTGCTTCCAAGCTAAACACCTTTTGCTATTGTTGTTGAGCTGTTCATCATCAAACACTTGAACAACATTTGGCATCGAGTGTTGCTTGTTAAAACGAAGGCGCGAGATAAAAAAAGATGAAGAATTTTTGGAAGCTGAATTATTCGTAAGACGTTAATTAAGTTACTTCTCTTCTCTCATTCAATTCTTGATCATTTTGTTCGTTGCTTGTGATTCACAAAAAAAAAGAAGAGAAGAGAAATCACCTACAATAATCAGGTAGCAAAGAATAATCTGTAATCATTCCATTCTCTTCACCTACATTGTTGGTTCGTTGACCGCATCAACAATTTTTTCCCTTTTGTCCTAATCTCAGACTGAACATTACAATTATGGCACTTTTTGAAAATGATACTGTAATATCTGAACCGAAAGACATGAACAGTTGTTTTTAAAAACTTTTCAGATTCTACAAGTTTCTTCGCATTCACATTGTCGGTTGGATAGTCATTGACATTAATGATTTTGAAGTGTGAAGTTTTGCTAATGATACGATTTAAACACCTGGCAGTAGCATTGCTTTTTGTTCCAAATTTGGTGTCGCTTAACTCCAGTGTCTATTCACATATTTAATGTTCACAATGACAATTAACTACTAGATTTCCATAAATACATTTTTTCTTCTTAATTTATTAAAATTAACTGAATTTATTGTTTCGAATAAAATCCAAAGAATAAATTATCTCCGCCTCCTTACCAATATTTAGTCTCATTAAAAATGCTTTTATTGAAATTTGACAAATCGAGGTGTTAAAATGAAATATTTTCTTGTCGTTTATTTCTCTTCTGACACTTTTCTTGTGGTTGTTTTAAGAAACAAGGAAAGAGAGAATATAATAATTCCTTTGCTTTTAATGAAAATACTGAAGAACACCGACGCGATAAAAATCTTTAAAGTGGATTTAATGTTGAATCGTTTTAAAGTATCGTTTGAGATACTCGATGAGAGCTTAAGAGACGATTTATAGAAACAAAACCATGAGGAGTTATGAGACGTTTACATGAGAAATGAAATCAAAATAGAAAACGTGGATTAGTGTAGGAATGGAATTATCATCAGCGTCAATCGAACGAGGGTATCGAATTGAACGAGACAATGAGTTCTGTATAGCGAAACAAGCCATGTCATTATTGTTAGTCAAACACGGATTAACTGATGCATGTCCATGATGCTTTTTCTTCTGTATCTTGTTGAATCATTCTCCATAAGTTTACAAGTCTCGTTCCCTCCTTTGCTTTGCTCGTTGTCGGAGGTTTACCTGTCTTGTGGTTTTCATACAAATTTTTTTTGTTTATTTTCAACTATCATCGCTGATCATATTTATGAGTTTATTTTTTTTAGCGTTGATGAAGAAAATATTTAATGTGTTCACCTTTCTTTAAATCCCATTCAACAGGAATCTCCCCCCTCTCAGACACAATTTCATTCATTTTTTTTGTGAGAAATAAAATAGAGAATTCTTGTTTATTTTGTTAAAAGTTCACTGTCAGTTTATGGTTCTATTTAGGTGAGTTATTTTTTTCTCCTTCATCGTCTCTATTCATAACAATTTTTCAATTTTGATTGCTTGCTGATGTTTTATGCCCTGAAGTGAGTGAGTGAGTGAGTGAGAGTGAAGAGAAAGAAGAAAAGCGTTGATAATTTGTTTATGGATCCTTAACTTCAGAAGAAGAATTTTAATAAAGCTTCGGAAATCAATTATGAATCATTATTATTATAGGGTTCCGCTTAACGAGATCGACAGCGATTCCATCCGTTTACGATGTTGAATTTTCGGTTAAAATCATTTTGTGTAATTTCGTTCCCTAAAAACGCGTTTTGAAGACATCAGAGGCAATTTACTACGAGATCTCGTGTTCAGACGGTCAATTAATTATTTCTCATAAATCATCTAACACTAAGGTTAAGCGATTCTCTCGAGAGAGGCTGTAGAAAGCGGTAAAAAAATTCTAGTGCTCTCACAATAAAATTAATTCAACTTATTCAAGCCAATATTACATCGTTTCAAACATTTAAAAAATGTTCTCAAAGTGTTTATAAACAATAAAAAATTGAAGTTTTTCATATAAATTAAATATTATACACCAATAAAAAGTAACTAAGAAATCAAGGTTAAAA